AATATATAAAAAGTAGATTTTCACTTAAATAGTATTTTTTGCAAACATATGCAGTGAGTTTTTTTTTCGATGATTAGTACAAGGATCCTCGAAACTACAGCAGATACGTAAAATGTTAAATGGGCAAATAATTGCAGTTTTGAATGCTCGACTCCAGGGTTTCCCAAACTTTTTTCATAACGGAACAATTTCCAAATCCAGAAATGTTCTCCGGAATCCGAACATAGTTTGGGAACCGGTGCTCTACTCGAAATCAATTTTATTTTGTCAAAATTTGACACCTGTCAAGAGATGTAAACAAAAACTGGTTAACTACATTTTTCAACTCGTAGCTCCGTCAATATTAATCTGAAAGGAAAACATTACACATAAAAGTTTTAGAAAATTGTAAAACATTTTCACAAATGACGTAAACTTGTTTTTTTAAATGCTATTTGATTCTGCATTAAAAAGAGCATTTTGAGTTCAGTAGTTGGGTCTGCGCAAGATTTTCACTTTTCCAATTTGGTTGATCGAGTGGTAGTTTCCATGGAAAATAGTACATTCAGGGCATTCAGAATTGTTTCTGTTCCAAAACCATGCATGACGAAAACATCGACTTTGTGATTGGACAAGAACCGAACAACAAGAGCAGAACTGATTTCCATGACCCATACCTGGTCTGCTTTATAAGTCCCCCGTAAGACCCATACCTAGAAGCTTTTATAAATGTTAATTTATAATATAAATTTATTTCGATATAATATACAATATTCCCCAACGATCATACGAGGGCCGCCCCGAGGATTTCCTGACTGAACCGCCGGAAGCGATAGATTACATAAAACACCTTGATATTTGTTTGTAAATTCAACTAAGATGGATATACAGAGTGTTAAAAACACCCTGTATATTGTTGTATTGTATTGTGTCGAGACGCCATACGCAAAAAAAATAAATGTTCATAACCACCATAGTCTTGAGCAACGAAAATAAGGCGGGCCACGCGAGTATCGATGTGGAAAACGTCAGGGTATTGTCTGGTTATATCTCCCCAAATGGCAAAATAAAGGACTTTAATGCTCTTCTGCTGACCATCGAGAAGGTGCTAAACAATAATAATAAAAATATAACTTTTGGGGGAGATCTGAACGCAAATACAAACTTTATTGGCTCAAAAGCCCAGAATAATAGAGGGAAAGCATTTCAAGAGTGGATTTTGCGTCATAATATTATATTATTAACCACCCTGTCGAGCTGCCTACAACTTTTCTATTTAATGTTTTCCTGTCAAAAATTTGTGTGTTTTTTATACTTCTTGACAGCTGTCAAATTAAAAAAAATAGTTTCAATCAAAGCATTCACAACTGCAATTCATTGCCCAAAGATCCCTGTACCAATCATGAAAAAAAACTCCTGTATGTATACCCGCTTTGACAAGCCACAAATCACTAACTTCCCATTCAGACTCTCATGCAGTGTAACTGTGGTCAATTTAGGCAAAGGATATTTCGAACAACTCAACGTGTAGTATAACCGTAATCTAATAAACGAGGGCGCATATTGTAATTAGCAAACTTAGAATAGTTTGAACGTGCAAAACAATAACTTAACCTCCATCATACCAGTGTTACATGTAAATTTTACCTCCTTCATCACATGAAATAACATACTTGCGACTTAACAATTATAACGGCTTAAATGACTTAAAAGGTTCTAAATTGGATCTATTTTTAAAATAAATGTATTGTTTTATCACAACACAGAAGTATTATGATACTTAGAGTTTCTGTACAGGGAAACTAGACAACAGTTCACGTCAACTTTTAGTTCTCGATGTATCAACTTCAAACAAACAAATGTCCGATTGATTCACAAATTTGTAAATATGTCCTACACTTTTCGACACTCTATAGTCCCACTGGCAGCATTGTCCTCTAGGCAAATGTCAGCAAAGTCATGACGACTGTCTGCGATGATTCGTATCGGATGATATCGGGCAAGCGACAATGGACACGGCAATAGTTCGGGCATGACTGAGTGGTGAACTATTAAGGATCCGAGTGATGGAAAGTCTTTGGTAAAACCCTGCAAAATTATATACGTATAAGTAATGCGAATATTAACAAAAAGAATAAGCCAACTTTTTTATAATATTGTCACGAGCTCGAAAAATACATGTTTAGTGTACATGCACACCTGACTGTTTTTAAAGGTAATTCTACTGGCAAAAATAATAGTAGTAAGTCATGTAGCAAAGATTCGAAATCGAAATATTTTTCGAGTTACAGCTCGTCAAACTTCTTTTTTTTATTTTTGGCCTATTCTGCACATTTTTTGGCAGGTTAAATTGAAAATGGGTACAGAGTTTTAGCTGAGTGACCTCCAACTTTCTAAGAAAAAATATTTATCAACTTTGCCACTAAATGGTACTTTACCTGAAATCCAAATTTCATTTTCCCCATAGCTTTTTTGTCACGCCAGATATCGCAAATAGGAATATGCCATTTTAAACACTAGAAATTACATAAAAAAATGTGCTTTTTACACGACGCAAAAAACATCATCGTTTAGGACCAAATCGACAATAAAATTTTTCTTACTCCAAAACGGTAGCCTTGGATTAACTACAATCGCAGCTAATCAAGTGGTCTGGTTTTAAAATGTACCAAATTTGACAATTTATAGTAATTATTGAATTACTGTTCAATTTAGACTAAATTTTTGTGCTCTAAAACCACTAAATTAAAATGGATCGAGAATATTCAAATTTTGCATTCAAATGCAACACAAAAATTTAGTCTAAATTCAACAGTATTACTACATATAATCACTATGAATTGTCAAATTTTGCACATTTTGAAACCAGACGACTTGATTTGCTGCTATTGCAATTAAATTTGTACATACTTTCCTGACTGTGTTTCAATTCCAATTGCTCAAAATCAATTCCTGGGCTTCAGTCATTTATTGTCTATTTATCAATTAAAATACTCTTCGGTGTTTTCCACCATCATCAGTTTCTATGTGTAGCGTTGTTGCTACTTTAAGCCTTGGCATATATTTGGAGTATCAGATACTCCAGATTTTGATTCGGAATTGCAATTAAATCCAAGCACACTGAGTTGATAAAAACTTTGATCTCGATTTGCTCCTAAACGAAGAGGTTTTTCGAGTCTGGTGAAGAGCATATTTTTTGTCTAGAATTGATCCTTAAAATCCCACATTACTTTTTGCGATATTTGGGGTGCCAAAAAAGTTATGGGGAAAATGAAATTTGGATTTCAGATAAACTGCCATCCAGTGGCAACGTGGAGAAATATTGCTTTCCCAGAAAGTTACAGATTACACAGACAACTAAAACTCTGTACCGATTTTTAATTGAACCCGCGAAAGTGTTCTGAACAAGTCAAAAATTAAAATTTTCATGACTTGTAACTCGGAAAATATTCCGATTTCGAATCTTTGCTACATGACTTAATATTATTACGTAACCTGCAGAATCACCGTTAAAAAATTCTTAACGCATTTTGCGAACAGGAACACCGACGATGGACTTTTATCCATTTACGAAAGAAATACTCGCAATTGAAAATTTATAAATGGAATTTGTCGGTGAGCATTTTTTCTAAAATAATCACTTCTTTCGGTCACCTTTTCGGTTGGTTGGTAAAATTGTTCGGGTTTTTTGCCTAGACTGAAACGGCCATTTTTATAAATTAAATTGTTTTTATCTCATAAACTGCAAGCTTTTGTTATAGGGTATATTATAATATACCCTATAATAACGTAGAATTCAAAAAATCGGGCATTGTGTTTAAAAGAAGAAAACTGAGTGGTTGCTCCGATGCAACCGGAAGTGACCGCAGACAATCATTATTTAAAAAAAATTCATGAAATCAAGAGCACAAATTTCCACACAGCATCCCATATTTTACGGAACTGATTATAATATTTTGAAACAATCAGTCAGGGCTTTGTGTTGCTTTATGTGTTAAAGCTTATAAAAACAATGTTACAACTTTTAAAAACTATTATGTCGCAAACTGCATTATGCCTGATTATATTCGCATATAATCGGTAGAAAAGTCATGCTTTCGGTATACCGGTCTCCAGATCGGTAGATATACCGAAAAATCGGACACCGGTAGTAGCCGCAAGCTGGTTTTATAAATAGGATAGTTTTGAGTGGTTTTAACACTTTTGGCATGGTTTTATTTTATAGTTTTGCTCTGATTGGTATAGCGGGGTAGATTTGCTTGAAGGGGGGTAGAGAGTCAAATTGTTTAAAAAAGGGGTAATTCTACCCCGTTCGCGGTAGCTTTGGCTGCTAGCTATTAGTCACAGAATCCCCCAGAATGGAAACAAAATAAAGCGAGACTGATATGCTAATTTGATACGCATTCTACCAGTAGCTTTGTGGCGCGCACCCATAATGCAACGTGGCCGGTGACAGATAAAGATGAGATTATTAGAGAATAATTAAATAACCAAACAGATAAAAACAATTTTTTTTTAAATCGGGGCACAGAAGTTTTGACATGTAGAGAAAATTTCTAGAAATTGTCATAGCTGGAATATTGTTGTGTAATTTTCCATTTAATCGTAGTTGTAAATTGATATTCGGTTAAGAAATTAATATGATTATTTTGTCATTGGGTGAGGCAACAACACTGTACTTCTTCAGTTTGCAAATTTCCGAGAAACTACGAGTATTTACATTGTCGTTTTGTTGCAAAATTCCAAAATTCTGCTCTAAAACGGATAATATAAGATAATAAGATACTGCTTTAAGAGGTTTTTAGAATAACGTCATGGCGGATTTTTTTAGGGGGAAATTAAACGCCCAGAGACAAAAGTGTTTAGTGCCCAGTTGTAAATCCAATATAGCCGCTTTTCCACATTTCCTTACAAACTTTGTAAAAAGCTGTTAACAACTTAACTTTCCATCGGTTTCTCCAGATATAGTGGTGAAAAACAAGTGGAAATGTGCAGCTCATTTTATAGCTGATTATTCAGTATTTGGTAGTAGATGCACGGGTTCTGAAAGCGGGTTTCCAAGGTGAAGCACTTGTAACTATGTGAGTTAACAGTTAGCGAAGTTACCTACATATTAGGTATGTAAGAATCTTAACACATTGACAAATTTACTCCACAACTTACTTTGATTCGGTATCCTTTAGCGCTGTATATAATTAAGTAGTGTGCAATTCCGCGAGCATGAAAACTGCGGGGAACGCGTACGCTTAGTGCAAAACATCCTAATTTTGTTGTACTTTTGCGCACCATGAACGATCCAATCGGCTCCTGGTGCAAAATCTCCAACGCAATCTCGCGGGGAATGCCTTCCTGGTACCAAGGTGCCATGCTGCAAATTTTGAAACAAAATTTAATTTCTACGTGGATAATAATAGTCTAGAACAAGCCCCAAACAAGATTATGCAAAAACCAATTCCAATTGAAGACTACACCGCAAAAACGCTGAAAGTAAATTTTTACCGTATAGTAAGATATTAGCCCCAGAAAAATTAGCGTAAAAATTTTAATGAAATGGTCCATACTGTTTGGCAATATTGCTAATAGTCTCGACAGAAAATATCCCTTTCACTACAAAAACGCTGAAAGTTGATGTGAAACCCAGCAAAAACGGTGTAGGTTTGTTGATGCGCTGTCACGGCAGCACTATCCGTGCAACTCAAATATAAAATAGCATTCTTAGTACCAACGTCGTATTTTTTGTTTCTGTCTTCATCTTTTTTTTTGTCTCAATCTTATAATTAGTAATGCATTTTCGTTATTTTATGATGGATGAAAAAACAGAGACTGTGAATTGTGACAGCTCTGATGAAAGTACGGTTCAGAAATTAAACGTGGGAACTAAAGCCCGTGTCCCATGCATCCGTTTGTACGATGATACGATGGTAGGAAAGTGTTTCTATTGGTTGGAGATCTGTCAATTCGTCATTCGTCGTACGAATTGACAGACTTCCAACCAATAGAAACACTTTCGTACCATCGTATCATCGTACAAACGGATGCATGGGACACGGGCTTTAGAAGAGAAACAAAAGTGGAAAGTTATGTAATGTTATGAAACGTTTGAGATTAACTTCACACTAGTTAGGACCAGACTGCAAGTGCTCCAGATGTAAAGGCTTTGAAAAGATGGGACTTTCTGATAGAAATACCATTATAAAGGAATTTAATAGCGTGTCGAGCAGGGATTTTTTTTCTTTTTCTTTCTTTTATGTATGACTGCAGTGAAAAACCGCAGGCCAAGAAAAACTGAAAATGAAGCCAAGTTTCACGATAAAGCATATTTCTATAAAGTAAGAGTTAACCGCCAGGTTGACAACAAAATTAACCACTACATTGAAGTGCCGATTTGTATGAACGCTTTTGTCTCATTACATGGAACTAGTGGACGTCGCCTACAAACAATTCAAGAGTGCCTAACGAAAACAGGTAAAGCACCTAAAGATATAAGAGGTAAATATAAACACATACATTGTGCAAAGCCTCCTGTCACATTTGCGGCAGTACAAAATCATATTAGCTCCTTTAAAGGCAGGCACAGCCACCACAGTCGAAAAAAATCTACAGTGGTGTACTTACCAGAAACTCCAACAATAAAGAGAATGTACAATATGTACAAGAACTTAAATCATCCTGATGTTTCATATGAGTTCTATCGCAAAGATATAAACAATGAGTTCAATATTAAATTTGGATATCCACGCAGCGATACCTGCAGTATTTACGATAAATATCATGCAGAAAAAAATGCATTATCAAAGAATATAAACGACACAATCATGGTAGAAAATGATGCAAAAATACTTCAAGAACTTAGAAAAAAAGAAACAGAACATATTCTGCATTTGCGAAAAGCTGAAGTTTTTTATGACCGTAAACGAGAAGCAAGAAAGAAAAGTATGAAGAGTAAAAGGTTTGAAGCCTAACCAATATGGACTTCCAAAAGAACCTCTCTATACGAAACTTTACATCCAATGACGTGTATTACAGAAGACAACTCAATTTTTGTTCTTTCAATAATCACGTGCTGTCTAACGCAGACTCCTACTTTTATTGTTATCCTGAAATTATCGCAGCTCAGGGATCAGAAGACGTTATATCATTTTTGCATCATTTTATATTTACTCTGTTAAACTCCAGTGTGAAGAATTTAATAATATTTGCTGACTCGTGTGGAGATCAAAATAAAAACTACTACCTGTAGTTATTTCCACACGAAGACTTGACAGCAAAAGAATGGTTTTTCCCATAAGGAGTTATTCTTATTTGGAGTGCGATAAGAATATGGAACTCATTAACCAGCACACCAAAGTTGAAACTGTTCAAGCCTGGTTGGATGAATTTAGTGGAGCCCGAACAAAGCCTAGCCCATTTAAAACCATAGAAGTAGATCAGTCGTTAATTCGGCAATGGAATGAATTTCTTGTGCCGAGCTTTAAAGCAAAGTGTCCATTTGCTGTGAAACCTATTCGAGAAATTCTCTGTGAAGCCATTCATCCTCAGTATATTGCATTTAGAGCAAACTACAATGGACCATTCGAAACTTGTGTGGATCGTACAACCGCTATTATTCCAACAATTGATAATTTAACAGGAACACAAGAATTGGTTTTGCCAGACAGAAAATACATAGGTAATAAATTCTCTTCGATTACCTACTAGCTTGACCTCACTACTTTTTTTCAGATTTTTTTGCCAATTAGTCTGAAAAAGTGGAAAGACCTGCAACATCTTAAACAGTTTTGCGGTGATGATGCCAAACATTTTTTGACGGTCTTACACACAGCGAAACAAACAAGAGACCAAGAGATAAGACGTATACACAAGAAGCAAAAATAATGCGAGAAACATCGAAGTTGCTACGGCAAGCAAGAAAAAGCTGCAAATTTTGCTCGAAGAAAATAAAATAAAATTAAATTCCTGTTTTGTATGACATAATAAGTCACCTATTATTAGCGTTTATTTCGTGTTCACTTTGCTGTAGTAATACTACTTTATTATTCACTAACATAATAATATAACTCACTTTTATCAGAAAACATATAAAACTTTATTTTCAACTTGCCTCGTTTTTGCTGTGTTTTTGATAACATACATTCTTTTTGCCGTTGTTTTTTTATGTTGTTTCGATGAAATGTAAAAATTTATAGAAAATAGAAAAATCATAGCGATCGTATGAAAGTGTTATGGTGTTACCGGTTCATTGACAATTTTTTTGATTCATATTTTAAATTTAATAATTTCTAATTTTAGTTTTAAAGTTTAAAATTCGTTTTCCTGGCAAAGAAATAAAAATGACTTTCATAGTTTTTGCTGTGTGGTCTTCAATTTATATATATATATTATGTAAGAAAGTACAATCTGTAATGGAACACCTCATTGTGCACATGTAATTTTTAAATGGCTAAATTAAATGTTTCGCTAAAATATCTACCCAGAGGCATGCCTCGGAATTCGGACTGTCCCAAAAGTAAACGAAAATAGATTTTTGGTACAGCAAATGTGGAAAAAAAATATAACAAATAGAAAAAATTCAGTGGAGGGTGAGAAAATTAATTGACTCACGATACGGTCTATCAAGATTACAAAAAGTGAACCTTTTCATTATTTATTCAACAAAGTACTTTTGATAGCCTCATTAACGAGGTAAATATAAAATGATTATAAACTATAAAATAAAATAAAATAATAAAATGTTATATTCTATACATAGGACGAGAAGTAAGCTATTATATACCGAGCACGTTTATCGTTGTGCGAAAAATTTAATGTGCGAGGAGTGTGAGGTAGCCTTCTTGCCCGAAGTATACAGGGTGGTTTTTTAGTGCGAGAAAGTCCGTTATTTCCGTTGGTGTTGCTTTAGAAAAATAGATTCATCTAAAAAGTTATTGACGCACAAAGTGCGCACATTTTAAAAATATCTTATATGATACAGAGTGTCTTAGAAAAGCGAGGCAAGATCAAAGTGTTTTTTTTTATAGAACTACTTATTTTTTATTAACTCATGGAATGCAGCTTCCAACGCTGCAGATGTACCGTAAATTGTTTTTTCTTACTTGCAACGTTGGCATATTACGGCCATTTTAGTAAAATTTTGCTTACAAACATGGTATCTGAAAATTAATCGTAGAAGCAAAAAAAGCAGTTAAAGATACAAAAAAATACGTCTTTCCTATCACCACAGATCCGTTAAGAATTCTATTGAACCAAAATATCAATACGTTGTACAAGGTGTTAAAAATGTGGACTTCAATCTAAAACTTTTTTGGAAACCATTTGGAAAACAAAAGTTATAATACTAATATTATATCGCACTAAAAACCACCCCGCATATCGAATTTTTTCTACTAACGCTAAATTGATTAAATTTAATTCTGAATTTTCCATAAATTTTCTGAAATGTTGCAATTTTCGATAGCTTGTTCAGTTGTCAAACTGCCGCAATACAATTTATCGGCCTCCGGAAAACAGATAAAAGTTCTATGAAAAACGTGTAAGAAAAGCGAAAAATTAGTGAATCTTAAATTTACATGGATTTTGAGCTGAAAATGGTTAGACTCTCACTTGAACTTAGAGAGATGAGCAAAATTAAAATATTTAAAAAAAACGCGAACATCTTGCATTATTTACCTAGGGACTTTTTTATTATTATTATTGACCTACGGAGATAAATATGACTTCTCTCTCCCTAGAGAAATCGAGTAAATAATGGTGACAATTGATCACTTTATCTAAAGCCACTATTGACCGCTAATAACCCAGAGAATGCACGGTTAAAGACACTAATCAGCCCTGTGCTGTATCATAAATGCTATTTTTAACGGCCACACGTTATGGCAACTTAACAGTTCGGGATAACATTTTCGATAACGCAGCAACACAACCGAGGTGTTCTCTATCACCGAGTTAACGTATGCGTTTCCGACCCAGTTATCCATCAAACGTTAAAAAGAAAAAAAATATTGGATGCATAAAGTGAAATGCCCTTATACGAATAGTCTATTAGTAAGAGAGAGAAAGTTAACATCAAACCACCGAAGCTTCTAAAACATATGCACCGCCACCACATGTGCACGTTTTGACCATTTGGCTTGCCTACTACCCTACTTGTCTTTGTTTATGATTTGCATTCACTTTCAATTTCGTTTGTTATTGTTCTTGACCTATCTTCTCAAACACTTTCAATGGAGCATGTACAGAAAAGGCAAAAAAACATCCCGCAAACAATTTGAAAATTTAGTAGTTTGTGGAGGAAAATAAAATTTATTTTCAAAATCATTTACTAATTGTTCTAATAAAGTTAACCTTATAAGACCACCAAAAGACATATTTTTATTTTAAATTAAAAACGAATAATAGCTTAAACACAAAACTACGCTCTGATTAAACACAATTATTTTATTCATTCCTCCGAGCTTAACTTCGAGGGAAGCACGTTAAGTTCGATAGCGGCATTTAATTTTATGCTGTTATTCTGAAGCGATATTTCTTAATATAACGTTCGTGGATAGCGTGCGCCTTTTATAATATAACGGTTTGACTGATACAACACACCAGTTGGAGCCAAATAACGTGTTTGATGGATAACATGAACGTGAAAGTTAACGTGAGTGATACAGCACAGGGCTGAATAATTCCATGTGTATCACTTTACCAACAAATATCTCTTTTCGTCTTAAATTTGCTTTTTCTCATTTCTTAAACACTCATCTATAACCTCTTAAGAGTTATTATAGTTAATTAAATTATTATTAATCAAAATTAAAATAACGAAAACCTTACACATATTTCAATATATACCTATGGACTTTTTTGTTATTATTATTGACCTACGGAGAGAAATATGTCTTCTCACTAGACAAATGGAGGAAATAATGGTGACTTCTCAGATTAGTAGTGAAAAAAAAGTTTAAACACTTACCGTAAATTGCTTTCTATTCGATTTTCAATCGAGTAACTCGGAGAATGTACACTTGTCGTACAATCGTTCATCTGTTTGAAACGAGTTCTGCCCTTATCTTCGATACGTAGGGTTGCAGTGCTTTGGTCAGTGACTACCGAAAGATTGGATGGACTGCCTTTGAAAATAATAATAATAATAATAATAATAACAAAAGTAAACAGTCTTTATCGGGTAATTCGCAACATTTCATTAATTCAAATAGTGTGAAAAAAGGAAAAAATGTGTGAAAAAACATGGTGTGAACTAGGGCTCGGAATCAAACTCAAATAGTTCGAGTTTCGAGTATTCGAATATTGAAAAAGTGAATAATTATGTCTAGTCATAACTCGAATATTCGAATACACCAACATTATCAAACTCACGAGGTGCAAATATCTTTAAATGCACTTTGTATACTTTTATAAAATAAATGATTCATATTCTACAAGAATTTAAACAAATACCCATATATTTACAAGCAAATGAAAATAATAATTTACCTTCCTGCAAATGAATATAAAATTACGTGTCTGTGTTCTGGTGACTCGCGTCATCAACTTTTGCTCGGTATTATTCGAATCCTCGATTATTCGAATATTCGTTAGATATTCGAGTATTCCAATAATTTTACTATTCGAATAAACCACAAAAAGAGTATTCGAATTTCAGATTTTTTAAAATTTCGAGCACTAGTGTGACTATACAAATGTGGGTGCGTGCGAAAAAACGGTCGGACACATAAATTGACATTTTTAGTTGCGCTTTTTTGTCAACCAAAACTTTGCATACAGGGTGTGTCATGTAACAGTGGCCTTTATCGACTTTCTAATAAAAACGTAAAATTATATCAGTAAATACAGGGTGATTTAAAATTGGCGTCATTTCTTTTAAGGGCTCCCTTGGGGAGTACGAGAAAAATATTGACATTTTTTAGATAGATAGTAACAGTTGAAGATCGAATTTCAACTTTGTTATTTAGCATTATTTTGAAATTGTTCCCTGTTTAATTGGAAGCATATTGGAATACTTAAGCATTCAAAAAGAAAAATTATTATCTTTGCTTGAAATTATGAAAATTTTCGATATTAAAAAAGTGCTCTTCTACACTTTTTGGATGAAAAGTCAAAGCGGCAATAATGTTTTTTGCCATTAACAGGTAGACAGCCTTTGTCAATAATAACAATAATTTGTCAAACTGTGACTTACTTTGAATTTCCTTTCACGAATTTGCTGATATGCGATTAGTTCAGGGGAAATGCTACAGTAACATGGCAGAAGCTGAAAGAACTCACGCCATATAGTGAAAGTGAACGGCAATAAACGTTCGGGTTCCAGGCACAGAGGACCAAGTATTACACATCATCGAATCAGGGCCTTCCAGGGGCACTTAGAACATTGCACAACTGACACTTTCCCAGGCACCAAATAAATATCGGCGACATTCCGACCACGCATGTAAGATCACATTAAACCAATGGATTACTGAACACCGGTATAAATGGAGCATGAGTTAATTAACCGAATACGATAAGCTGCCCGAGAAGAGTGCATAATAAGGTGATTACACAGGCACATGTTTGGAGTTACAGACTCAAATGTATGTTTTTGTAATTTGTAAACAAAGTAATAATTTGAGGTTATAAGTTTCAAAATAGGTTTCGTCATTCAACGATTCTTGTTGAATTTAACGTATAACCCTGTCTATCTTATTGTCACTTTCTGTATAATTCCATAGTTACCGTAGTTTTAAATAATTACGAAGCAACAGGTATTTACGTAATGTTAATTAGGTCGAGTACCTTGAAAAACATTGTTGCCGTTTTCCTAATATAGTTTTTTGCAAATTTCTCAATCCCAATTAATTGCTATTTTCTATCTTTTCTGTACTCCTAAAACACCGCCAGACAACACCTTCAGAGGAATGACGCCAATTTTGAATCACTCTGTATTATTAATTGATTAAGATAAAGCATTTCTTTAAGATTGGCCGACATAAAATTCGATTTGCATCGACGTAAAACATGTATCTCGTGGTACTGTAGATGTCAAGAACGCATATCAATTTTGGAAAACAAATCAAGCCGAAGACTACGATCTGCTTGCAATGACCTGCATGCTAGCCCAACGGTGATCTATTGTTTAGCATGCAAAAAATTATCTTAACGTATATTAAATTACTGTAGGTCAAGAACCAGGTGCACAAGATAACATTAATAAACTTCAATTTTTCTCTATTTGCCTCTATTGTTTTAAAAAGGATATTGTCCTTAAAGAATAATTACACCTTGTTTTATGGAAGCGATATGCGCAGAATATTTTTGATACCACTATAAATCAGTTTTTGAAAACCTTTCCATAGAGCCCAACATGAGCTGAGCTTCCATATGCCGTTGCCTGAATATTTACAATACTTACTCGATCCTGCTTCACTGACAAGGGGATCTCCTTCCTCGTCACTTACATTGGATACGAGTCCCTTTCCAAATCGCTTCATCAGGAATGGCTTCTCAGTATGGCGTTTTGACTGATTCAGCTCAGTGGGTGAATTACTCTCCAAGTTATTTATCATTCCTCTCTTGCAATCTGAAGATGAATCCTGGAAACAACGCCAGTTTTTATGAGGGTTAAAACATTTATGAAACGGAAGACACAGGCAGTTTTCGATATTCTGAATTCACCTTATCTGAATCAGCAAGATGTCCCACATTGGTGGACTGGTTTCCATATTGATGCTTGTTTGGCCGGAACGCCATCTTCAAAGATTTACCCAGTATCATTTCTAACTCTGGGCTCTACAAACAAAACAGAAAAATTATTGTAATATTTTTTCAGCTTCAATTTACGTAAGTTTTGCATTACAAATTGTCTAAATCTAGGTTTTATACACGACAAATATGGGTCCTCCCAAGAATCAGTTATTATGTTGTAGGCATGAGCAACGCATGAGTGAATTTTTAGGAGTTAGCGTAGTAAGATTTCTGATAATACTGGAGAGAACGGAAAATGCCTTAAGGTCCTGGTCTCGATGAAGGCAGGTGGAAAACCATCGCATTAATTTTTGCAAGCAAATCAATATGGCATTCCAAAACGTAAATTTTGCCCTCAGTCCTCGGCAAGCGATAGATCGTCAGGGGGTGCTAAGAATTCCCGGGTTGAAACTTAAAATAGCTTCTTGGAATATGAAGACATTGTTTAGAGCATGTGAGCTGGCGAATGCCGAGCGCAAAATGAGGATGAAGTGGAACGTGTTTTCCGGAGCACGATGCATGCTCATGCATGCATGAGCGAGGTTAGATTGAAGGGAGGTCATATTGACACCACCAATTACAACGGCTTCTATTACTCAGAACGGTGTGGGCCTCTTGGGTTCAAAGGACATGACACAATACACAAAAAGCTTCGCTCCAGTCAACGACCTCATAATGTTGATTAGAATAACCGGACACCATTTCGATATCAATTTGATACAGGTATGCGCTCCTTATTCTGAAAGCACCGAAGATGACATTACAACGATATAGAACTAGTCAAAGTACACACAAGAAACAATTACATCAATATATACCTAGGCGACTGGAATGCCAAAATATCCGTCCCGGGCTTCGCAAAGCTTAAATGCTAAGCGTCATTCAAAGTGCGGAGCAGTTAGCCGCGATGAGTTATAACTTATTAGCGCACAGAGCGACAACAACTCAAAAGATAACTCAACACAGTGTTAATCATGCCTATTATGTTGTGTGAAGTGAAGTTGCACGAAAGGTGCTTCAAGATGTTGCTAGCAGTATTCTAGCTGAAATTTAGTTCTGTGGATATTTGAAAGTTTTATCTGAAAGTTGAGACCGAAATGAATCCACTAATAACGATCCAAAAGAAGCGTCATTCCTTTTAACGATTTAGTGGGGATTACTTGAGGCTTATTATCCAAGTAACCTCAAATAAAAAGTTAGTTTACAGCTATTCAAAATTCAATTTGCATAACAGTCCAAAAACCACCGATGCCTGTGACCGCGTTTTAAATATGTGGCATACCGTCCTTGGCCGACTCTAAATCAGTCAAATCTTCTATATAGAAGATAGAAGAGGAGAGGAATCAATGTATTGTTTATTGAAAGATATTATTTTGGAAGATATTGCGATTCTTCAAGTCAGTTGTCAGCGTGATAGTGACAGTTATTCGCAAGTTTAAAAGTCCAGGCGTTCCCTGGTGGCTACAATTATAACTACAAGTTAAGTAGTAACATGACATTTGTTTTGTTGACATTGGTGTTTACATCTGGCTGAAATTTGTTTTGTTCTAATCAACTTTTGCAAGCTTTGAAAGAAAAAGAAACAGATCGAAAAGTGTGTAAGTATTGTTTTATAGATGTCATCAACTCCACTAAATAAACAAGTCTGAGAAGTCTCAACTGTCACTCGACAACGAGTAATTTGACGTTTCGCAGCGCCACCATCGGTAGTTGAACTTGCGTTGCTAATAGAGTGAACTTTCGTGCACTTATCATTCAGTTTAGATTTAATGATTAACAAAATGGAGAGCGACAATTATGCAAACATAGTTTTTGTCATACTATTTAACCCTCACGGACAATGTGACCAAGTTGTCGCAAGGACATGCAGGAAATTAAACGAAACGTATCGTAATTTAAAGCAAATGAATGCAGAGGTGTTTTAATAGGATGATTGAGTTTACTCCACCTGCATGTTGGGGCAATGTCGAAGAAAATACACCTAATTATTTTTTCCTTGATGTATAGATTTTCACATTCGTATCTGGTTTCATTTTATAATTTCTAAAAAACGGTTGCAGTCAATTTGATCACTTTGATAGAATTTTCAATTTCAACTTTATCTGAGGTACTTAATCTTTGGCAAAACAGGGTGTGGCCCAAAAGAAATTTGACTAGTAATACTTCAAAGAGAAATAAAATCGCTCGCGGCAATCCGAATCTATCCAGTTGCAAATTTAGGGTAAATTTAGGCGTGAAACGCTTATTTTCTATCCTAAAACGGGGAAATAATCAACCACTTGCGATACGCAGATGATACCGTTATGGTCGACGATAGTCTGGAAGACTAGTTAACAAGCATTTTCTGCAGGAGATATGGCCTAGAAATGTACCTAAAGAAAACCAAAACCCACGCCACAATAGACCATGTATAATATTAATAACGATAACCTAGACTGAGTATCCTACAAATATCTTGGCTCATGGTTAACTGAAACAGCAGAACACACATAAGAAATCGAGAATACTCCGAGATTTAACATTAGAACTGGGAACAAGAATGCTAAAATGCTATACATTCTCCAGTATATTGTACGTAATGTAGAATTATACTCTTATACATGACCGCTAAAATAACAGTGTTCTAAACGTGTACCCTGTAAGCGCAGTTCCAGGTAGCCGATTTAACAGGTTATTTTTGGAACCATCTCATAAAACCGGAAAAGTGGTTTTTTGGGGATTTTTTGGAAAAAAATTTTAATGAAAAGTTTTAAAAGTAACATGTTACTTTTTGAACCGAATTTTGCAACGTAATACCAAAGTGGAACTGAAACTGTCCCAGAAAAATATCCGTTTAGCACATCTCTACATTAAATTACATATATTATATAAAATAATGTACAATACTTTGCAGATCAATATTCGTGTGAAAAAAATCTATACATATTCGTTTTTGTGGTGTCTTGTTGCTTAGAAACAATATTTGACTTAACTTAGTTAAACAAATTATTTCGTACATTTCACAAACCGAGAGTTTTTACTGTTTTTGGTTTTGAGCGAAGTTGCATAATAGGATCGGAAGAGACAAGGATGCACCAATAAATTGGCCAGCAAGATCATCCGATTTATCGCCGCTAGATAATTTTAGAAAACAAAGAAGAATAATTATGGAATAATTTATGTGTTACTTTAATTTTATTATTAATTATTTATTGTAAGTAATTATTTGTACAGAAACTGTAGGTTATAATTTCGGGTAAGGAAATATTGGTTAAGCGCTGTACAGTCATTTCAGGGGCACCCTGTATATAATCGAATTTGTTCGAGTTTATGAAATGCAATAGATTTGAAAAAGCACTGGTTTGATTGAAATAATGCGCTGAGGATTAAATTGTTGATTAGTTGATTGATAAAATATTGCTAAAGTGTTTTTAATAAATGTGTCTTAGTTTTGTTCATTCTCAGAAAATCAGTGGTAATTCTATATTCAGTACACCAAATTACATATTTATCCCAATCAACGGATTATTTCATATCTAGAAATGTAATAATTGCATGGATTGCCAGTAGAATTAGAGCTTTAGGTCATCGCCCTGATGTTAGCAATGTTAGAAAGGCTACTGGTCGTCGCTTCACATTCAACTAGGTATCGAATCTATTAGTTAATTCTATTAATCATTATGAGACAATAAATGTATGTACCCTTAAAATACAGACATATAACTAAATAGTTTAATCCACTCGAGATCAAAACTCCCTACTTGTAAGAACGGTATAGGAAAAACTTTAGGAACAATAACTGCTAATACTGTTTAATCTTTAATTTAAGCGAACTCACCTCACTTGAAAAATCTGGAAAAACCTCAAAATCTTCCGTTGCCGTGATACGTTTACTTCTAATCCGACCCGATCACTGCATGTAAACTATACTTCCGTGTCGAATTTAGAGGTGCGACTAAATTTTGGGTAAAAATTGTAGCGGAAACATCTGTGTTTGGATTCCATATAAATAAAGCTAGAACTTATCTGCATGCTCCTACCAGTAGCCTTTTGTTGATTACATTGAAATTTAAATGCCGACATTGCTGAAAAGATGTGCGATCTCAACGTTTATGAAATGAACCGAAAGTTTGGAAGTATGTATTACCGTAATTTTACGATCTGACTAGAAAATTGTGACTATTTTTTGCATGCTAAAACCTATGTGGTTCTTTCCCTTAGAAAGTTTTTTCGGGAATAATTTGGGTTTTTCGGCGTGTAATTAGCAAGAGCTTTAAATTGGTTCAGATGAAACAAGTCGAACAAGAACAATTTGCTGTGGCCATATTTAAAAATTATTTTCTAATGTGCAGGGTGTCCCAATTACTAAGTTGAACCCAAAGTTGCATTTTTTTAAATGGAATGCCCTGTATATTATTATGTTATTAGTATTTATCGTTTTCGATCGTATTATTCGTTTATCTTACTTAAATCTTAAGGTTTCTGAGATATTAGGAATTTCGTGAAAACGGAGACCTTTTTTTTAAGTTAAAATTTTAAATGGAATGCCCTGTAGGAATGTTATTAGTGTCTACGATCGAAATAAACGTGAATTCTATCTTAATAGATCGTATTATTCGTTCATCTTACTTAAATCTTAGGGTTACTGAGATATTAGGAATTTCGTGAAACGGAGACCTTTTTTTAAGTTAAAATTCTAAACACCCATTTCGAGTTTCTAATCCAAATTATACCTTGCGGCTATAAACAGATGCAGTTGTGTGACAGATTAATAAAAATTAGACTAAAAGATACAGGGTCGCCAAAGTGTGTTCAAACAATTGCACGTTTTGACCGCTAAAAACTTGCTTAATTTAAAACACCCTATAATTTATGACAGGCACAGAAGAAAAATATAATTTTCTTGATCACTATTTTCGATGGCGAAAGCATCACTTTTACCCATTACAAATTGTCTTCATCTCGTGTGGAAAGTAATAACTTTCACCACGCCCGCTGACAGCTTGACTTTGTCACTGGCTGTCAGCTGACTGTTTTGACAGCATTTTCAAAGCGTTTTCTTCAAA